GTATAATTTCAGCTTTCAATTTCTGTATTTAAAAGTTTTATTATAACATAATGTGGCTTATTTGCCAAAGTGTTGTTTGTGGCTTTTATTTTGTAATGGCAAACTTGAATCAATGGGACAGAGACCATGTGGACCACGAAGGCTAGAATATTTATTATCTGATCCATTAATGACAAGGCCTTATCAATTGTGCAACCCTACTAACTAGGTTCTTGAGCTCAATCTTATAATCACATTTATCAATTATTATAGTTAGATAATAAATTAGTGTAATCATAAAACAACAAAAAATTGTTGATCCTTGTTCTGTATTATAAAAAAAATAGCCTTGTTAATTTTTTAAATATCCTTTACCCCTTTTATTAACATACTTTTGCATCATGATTAATAAAAGGAATGTAAGTTCTTAGAGAAAGTTTGGAGTATCTTACCATCTGCAATTGAGAAAACCACAGTATTTTGGTACACATTGGTTCAGACCTAATTCATACATATTCCCCCCCCCACACAAGTGCACATACATAAAATTAGAATCTTATATTTCATCTTTAATTAATTATAAGAATATTTTTAAAGACTGCATAAAGTTTTATGATTACTGTAATTTATTATTTAACTATAATGATTGATAAATGTAATTATCAGATTGAACTCAAGAAGCTAGTTAGTAGGGTTGTACAATTGATAAGGACTTGCCATTGAAACTTCACTGTCTGTTGAATCTGCCCTTTTTTCCTCCTTATGTGAAACACAGTTTGGGACACTATGTGAGGCAAAGGAAATTGAAAAGTTGCCATTTTCAAATATTTTGTTAGAGTATTTGTTGACAATTTGTCAAATGACATAGATGCAACACTAATCTACAAGATTATTTACTCAAAAAGGTATTTATTGGGCTGGGGATTTAGCTCAGTGGTTTCACTTCCTGTTGCGCAAGCGCAAGGACCCGAGTTCGATCTCCGGTACCAAAAAAAAAAGAAAAAGGTATTTATTTCAGATATGAATTCATAAACATTGATTATAGTCCTCAGAAGATTGTTTAGAATCCTTGAAGAAAAACATGTGGAAGATGCTATTTGCTTGAAAAAGAAGTTCCAAACAAACTGGAAGTGAACTAGTCAAAGTGATACATGAATACCTTGAAACATACAGAACATTATGGAAACAGTGGAAGTTTGAGACTGGTAATGACAAAAGGTATAAAGACTACATTAAGTTCAATCTAAAAATATATTGCAAATAATATGTTGTCTATTCACAGAGAAATACTTATATATTAAAAGTTGCCTTTAGCTTTTAATACCATATTAAATGATGTCCTAAAAATTCCTGATGAATTTGAGCCTAATGAGCCTAATGAAATTCAAGCTCCAACAATATCTTCTTTTCAGATTAGGTGAAAAAATGCAGTTAGCTATTTCATTACTGAAGTGCACTGACAGTCCAGAGGAAGATTTTGAACTAAAAGGAAATTTAAAAATTATTCCTTATAAATATTTCTTATTTTGTAGGTTTGTTGAAGTAGGGTTGTTTTAAAACATGGCATCACTAATTGACATTTTAAGGACTTGAATTAAATGAACTGGAGTGATCATGTGGAAAATATGTTGACATGTACTGTTAGTTTATAATTTCAGAGTTAAAATTCAGCTTTGGAAAAGTGACATGGAAGTGATTTTTGGAAGTGATATTTAATTAGTGTTATTTAAACCCTAAAGAAGAATTAATAGCACCAATAGAGCAAAAAGTCAGTGTGTCTAAGACAAAGTTTTAGTAATATTTTAAAATATTTGAAATAAAAAATTTCAGTATTCAAAGCTTAAGAATTTTTGCACCCTTGAAGTATAAATTGAGGAGATTAAATTGTTGGAATACTGATGAATGAGAGTTTTCAGTTCTAACAAAGCTTATGTATAGAATTTGAAGAAAATATTGAGTATTGATCAGAAGTGGAGTATAGCATGAAACCTACTATATATTTTAACATTAATAATGGGGAAATGGGAATAATTTCACAAAGTCAAAGAAAATAAAAAAAGAACAAAAATTCCAAAGAAAGTAAGGTGAATACTAGTCAAAGTAAAGTAAATGGGAAAATCACATTCTTTTATTCTCTATATAAGAGATGAATTTCCCTAGATGTTCAAATCAGGCTCTTCAAAATAAAAACAAAACAAAACAAAAATCCTACAAAGTCTTGAAAGTAGTGAGAAGTTAGTTGAAAAGTTATAGATAGTAGTAGATGGGTAGGCAAGAAAATTTCAGGAAAGTGAACCAAAGCATATAAAAATACCTTATTCATTTCAAAGGGGGATTTAAAATCTTTTAATGGTACAATGTGAAGTGTTACAAAATGGTAAAATACGTGATTTTAGAAAAAAGGTATCTCAGAGTTGTTCATACTGAACAACATAGAAGCTAAATATGTAAATAAAAATTCTTTTACTTTGTGACTTTAATCTTTTCCAGGAATAATCTTTATCTGATGGAGAATTAAATCCTCATGTGTATTAGAAGATTTTCCTATTGGAAATTATTTCATAACTTTAATTTTTTGTTTGCCTTTTTCTATCCTAATATCTAAGTAAACTTGACAAAGATGCTAGTTTTATAAAGAAATTTACTTTCAAATTCTTTACCTGAAACATGTATATTGAAATTTGTGTGTGAAAGAAACTGTTAATATTAAAAATTAGATGTTTCAAATTAAAATGATTTTTGTGTTATCCATAGCCGTAGGAAAGTTAATTGAAATTTACTTTTGTTTTGACAGTATAAATGAATTACTTAAAAATTCCAAGATTCTAAAGTTTTTATTAAAATATTACATATTTTATAAAAATATGTTTTAAGAACGTATTGTATACATATAATTTGGAATCAGCTTTTGATTTGTCAAAGTTTTTGAATTTGTGGCAAATATGTCAATAACCACTTATATTTGTAAATGTTTATAAATATAATTGATAAACCATATATACTTTACATTTTATACTACATATAATACATATGATTACTCCAAGAGTTGGCATGTCAGTTCTGATTTAGTGAATCATAGATCTTATCTGCTGCCAGAATTGCCAGTGATGCGAAGAATATAGGTAAGCACAAAGTGTGGATGAAACATTTGAGAAACAGACTCCAAAAATGTCCCTTTCTTTTGCATTAGCACTCATTATGATTTTGAATTACTAGACTACATTTGAGTAATGTGTGCAAAACCTTTGCACAGGGTAAGTTGTTTTGGATCTTCTATTTTATATTCTCATAATTACACAACTTACTTGACTGCTCTCCATTTTCCAGGCATAGACTAATCCCTAATTCCAGGCTTATTTACTATAAGCAATTTAGATGGTTGAGCTCTCTATATTACTAGCATATTTTCTAGACAGGGACTTTGGTATTTTTCTTCTAGTTAATATTACGTTTACTAGGCTGTCTTCTGACTTAAGTTCATTAGCATATTACAAGAAACTCTCATTTAGATCTTTCATTGTTCTTCCCCCAGTAGTCAAAGAGTTACATGACTGCTATTAATTCTTTCCTTCCCAGTAATAAGGACAATGGATTTTGTTCTGTATGGAAAATTGTTTGATAAAGTAGTCTTTTAAATTTTTGTCCAGTAATTATCAGTATTCTTCATTTTTAGTTCATGCTAGGAAAATGAGCAATTAAAGTAGATACTTGTTGAATATTATTTAACTTTATTTTATGTTGCTAAATAATCTCAAATATAACAGGCTATTCCTAAATTCTAAATAGTTGCTGTAATTATTTAACATTAACATTGTTTCATCACGAGCATCTTAAGGAGTATTTTAAACTGCTATCTCCTTGTCTTAGTTACTTTTCTTGTTGCTGAGACAAAATAGCCAACACCCAAAGTTAAAGGAAGAAAAGTTTATTTGGCTCTTAAATCATAGAGATTTAAGTTCATAATTGGCTGATTCCAAGCCAGGGTGGCATGGCAGAGGGGCATCGCAGAGGAGAAACAGTTCCATGGTAGGCAGAAGACAGAAGGCAGAAGGCACCAAGCAAGCATGCTATAAGCAATAAGCAGCAATAACAGCTTCTCTCTGCCCCTTTTATATTCTATCTAGGCTATTGAGATTAGGGTGGAGCCATACCAATCAGTGGACTAATTTAGTAATTTCATACTCCAGATCCAGCCACCTCTGAAAAAGTCACACTTATGACTGCATGAGGCTTTCAGGGGACATCTAGACATAAGCCATAACACCCCTTATTAGAAATTTGACATAATAGAAAATAAGATTGATTTTTTTTTTTTTACTAAGAACTTAAGGCTGCTTCAGTTTATTATAAGTCACATTACAGTATGGATTCATTTTACCATTAACAAAAGGCATGTTATAATTCTGACATTCATTATTTTCTTTAACTATATTTGAAGTTTTATTTACCTTGTAGCATGTCCACAAGTCTACCAACAGATGTTTAGAAAACCCTTAAGAAACTCGTATTTGTAGGGAAACTTGAACACATAATAGGCCAAGAGCGTAATAAAAAATCTTAATGTAGAAGAGCTGTTATCTGTCTTGAAAAATCAAATCTCCAAGTAGATATGAATAAATCTAACAGTTTTGCTGAGTTTACTTAGATCTTAGGATAGATGATAATCATACAGAAAATTAAAGATATCAAAAATTTTAATACTTTATATGCCCAAGTAGTCTCTGTTAATGAGATAAAGGTTAGTCCTTGAAATTATTAAAAGAATAATAGAATTTTGCAGTTGCTAGAACCTTAAAACTCAAAGCAGCCAATTTATTTCAAAAGAAGAAATACTAATAGAATTTAGATCTAGAATCTTGTGTCTTTTTCTTTTGTGATTCCAGCTACTATACTGTGTTTTGGACTAGATACCATAACTTACTTTAGATGTGTTTGGTTTTAAGTCACATGGACAGGGCTGTCTCTGAGTTTTCTTTCAAGGATTTGTCTTATTCATAATGTTTTTTGCATTTTTCAACAAGGTCATTTTAAAGATGAATGAGAAAAAATTGGAAACAATATCACAACAGCGGAAATTTCCTGAATGGATGTCTATGCAGAATAAAGGATGTGCTATAGAAGGAAAAAAGGTATAGTGTTAATTTACTATTTTTTTTCCAGTTTATATTTTTTATTAGTACAGAACATGTTTGCAGTACGTAATGATTACGTTCCTGGGTAATTGGTACATGCACATAACACATCTTTATTTTCATCCCCTCCCCTTCCTTCTATCCCATCTCCCTCTATCTTTTGATCTCCTTCCCATTTGAGAGAGATCTAGTTCCCTAGTTCCTATTATCTCTCTCTTATTTTGCTTTTGGGTTTCTCATATAAGAGAAACCATATGATACTTGAGCATGTGTGTCTCATTTATTTTACTTAACATTGTGGTCTCTAGCTGCATCCATTTTCTTACAGATATCTCAAGGTTATTGTTATTTATGACAGTGTGTATTTACACTACATCTGTTATTTCAGATGGAAAATTTAAATTTTATGGTTTAATGAATCGACCCTTATTTGTAAACTTCAGGTCATTATTTAGGTCAGAGTGTCTGTTTTGTGAATGAACCAGGGTCTAGCTGAATGCCTGAAGGGGAATGAATTTTAATTGGGTTAACAAAATGAGAATTCTTACTGTATAATTCCTCTTTGTATATCCAGTTTGTATGGTTGAACTTACTGGTTTGTTCCAATTCAGAATTAATTTGGACATCGTTAACATTGGTGACTTTTTTTGGTTAAGCCTTGAGTTCTCATAGATTTAAAATCTGGAAACCAGTTGTCAGCATTTCAGGGCCACATTATTGCATTATTACTAATATAATTTCCAATGAAATTTCTGAGTAAAATAAATGCTTTAATGAAAATAGTATTAGAAGTTTGAAAATAGATTTATTAGGAATAATAACTTTACAATAGGATGGCTTTATTTCTTAAAAATTGACCTTGACTTTAGTAGTTCTATAAAGCATTAACTGATGAAACTTAGAACTAAAAATTGGAAATGTCAATGGACTTTATTATTTCAGTGAATGTCATTTAGTATAAACTTTACTTGTGTCTATTTTGCATTTTATATAACTCAAGGCACATATTCAGAAGAGTGTTTTTGAAGATGATCTCCCCTTCTTAGAATTCACTGGCTCTATTGTGTATAGTTATGAAGCTAGTGATTGCTCTTTCCTATCAGAAGATATTAGGTAAGACATTTGAATTACCTAATTACACTGGTTTGGGATCCTTAGAACATAACAACTATTATGGTAATATTTGTAAGTTCCAGAGGTAATTATTTCTATGTATAGATTATCACTAAGTTCTATTCTACTTTTTAAATAAAATAATCATGGAATTATTTGCAATGTATCTTTTATTATGTTAGATTAATTTTTTTACTTTTAATTCTTAAGATATTATATATAGAACTATTGAACACGTATGTTTTACTGATTTGTGGAAAAATATAAAAATTAATTTCTAAATATATCTTTACATCTTATTAAAATACTACATAATAATATTGAATAGTGGATATGATTGGCTCTGTTTTATTTATTTAGTGAATTCATATATTTACATCAAGCGATCTTTAAAAAGAACATTAGAAATGACTGGTTGTACTTTTAATTATTGCCTGTGTCCTGTTTTCTGCTTCTGAAACAAAATTACCTATAGGATAAATTATAAAGAAAATAAATTTGTTTCTCAGTGTTGGAAGCTGGGCAGTCCAACAATGTACATTGAGATCTGATGAAGGACTTTGTGCTTTGAGATAACATGGCAAAGGGCAAAGGAGCAAAGACAGGGCACAAGGGGCTGAACTGAAACTCACTCTCTTGAGAGCCCACCTTCTCCTGTGATAACATTAATCCATTCAGGAGTGCAGAGCCTCTGTGATCTCATCACCTCTTATTAGGCCCACCTCCCAACATTGTTGCATTAAGGATTTCAGTTTTGATGTGAGTTTTAAAACCATAGCACTTTGTTAAATTAAGACTACAATAATGCAATCTCAGGCTCTTCAAGAATTTTACGAGCAGTACCAGTAAGGAATGATTTCAAATCTTTTTTGAAGTTACTATACTTGTCCTGTCTACCTCCCTTTCTTTTTCAACTGTTACTAATTGGCCCTAGAAAACCAGACATAGCTGGGGATGGTGGCACATACCTTTAATCTCAGCATTACAAATACTCCTGAGGCAGGAGTATTTGAGTTTAAGGCAGCCTGGGTTACATAATGAGACATTGTCTGAAATCCTGTTCCTTAAAAGCAGAAGTACATTGAGCTGTTTATTAATGTTCTCTTGGTGGTAGAGTTTAATCTAGAAATACACACAGGTGTTCTCACTTCCACTCGTTTTCTGGCCATTTTGGGTCTCATATTGAATTCAGTTAGACTCACAGAGAAGGTAAAAATCTATTATTATATATTAACTTCACCAACTTTGCCTTGCTATGTCATATATGAAGGGAATGATCATAGTAATTTGAAGAATTGTAGTTTTGAGAAATTGTATGTTGTAAAAGGTAGAGTTTTTGTTTTGTTTTCTATTTCCTCTTTTCTGACTACTTTTAAGATTCTTTCTCTCCTTCTCTCTCTCCCTCTCTTTCTCTCTCCTGTGTGTGTGTGTGTGTGTGTGTGTGTGTGTGTGTGTATGTGTATATGTATGTATATATGTGTATGCCATGGGGTACTGGGGATTGAAACCAAGACCTTTGCACTGGACTACATCCTCAGCCCTTTACATTTTTTTGATTTTGAGATAGGGTTCTGTTAAGTTGCTTAGGTGGGACTTGAACTTGCAGTCCTTCTGCTTCAGCCTCCCGAAGTGCTGTGAATACAGGCATGTACAACTATGCCTGGCTGACTTAAGATTTTTAATACAACAGTTTTTCCACAATTTGATTATGATCTGCCTTTGCATAATGTGGTTTGTGTTTATCCTGATTGGGATTCATTGAGTTTTTTTTTTAATTTTAGATTTATAGTTTTCATTAAATTTGAAAATTTCTTCTCTCATCCTGCAATTCTTTTCTCTTTCTGGGACTTCCAACAAGTTAGATTGCTTAATACTATTTCCTTTCAACCCCCACCTCCTTTTGTGTTTTCAGGTTGACTTAGATATTTTTCTTCTGTATTATCTCATCTTTTGTTTATCTCTTCCTGTGAATTTTTTGGCTTAGATATTATATTTTTCATTTCTAGAAGTTCCATTTAAAAAATATATCTGCCATTTTGGTTCTTAATGTTTTTGTGCTTTCTTTTAAATTCTTGAACTTATTTAGCATATTTATAATAGTTTTAATTTATTTATTTGTCTTGTTAATTTCATTATTCTAGGGTTTTCTCCCCCTTTTTTTGTTGAGTGATTACTCTCCTGGATATGGCTCACATTTTCCTGTTTCTTCTCATGGCTGTTAACTTTGCTGATTAGAGGTTATGAGTTTACTGTGTTGAATGCTAGATTTTGTCTTCTTTCAGAGAAAGGAGCTTCATTTGTCAGTTATTTGAAGATCAGCTTTATATTTTGAGACTTGTGTTTAAACTTTGTGTCTTAGTCACTTTCAGTTGCTGAGACAAAACACCTGGCACCCGCAGCTGAAGGAGGAGAGATTTATTTTGGCTCACATTTTAGAAGTTTTGGACCTTGCATGGTTGGTTGGCACTAGGTAGAAGTGGCACAGTGGAAGAGTTTGGTAGAGGAAAGCTGCTCTCTTCATATCAGCCAGGAAACAGAGCCAAGGGAGTAGCAGGAAAGGTAGATATCCATAGTGACCCATCTCTTCTGAGAAGACTCTACCTCCTAACAAATCAGCTATAATGGCCCCATAATCCAGTCACCTTCCAATGAAACACATGATGCTTTGAGGGCTATTTTAGATAGTACGTAACAGGGTAGGTCTACAGTTCTCTTTAGTCTAACAATAATTTAAAGGGTGACCCTTCTGCCTTGTGACCATAATGCTAAGTGAAGTAAATCAGACACAGAAGGTTAAATGTGGGTTATTTTCTCTTTTATGAGAAACCCAAAGTATAAATAATTTAAAGAGCAAAATAAAAGATAGATGACAGAGAGGTAGACCTTTAGCAGATGGGAGGGGACTTGAGGATGGGGATAGAGGGGAGGGAAGAAAAACTAAAAAGGATTAAGATGTCATATGTATATGCGCCAACTTCCTACAATGAATATATTCATATATCATAAAATGTACTAAAAAAAAGATACTAAAAAAAAAATGTAACCCTTCTGAATCTGCTTATTTCTCCAAATGATCAACAAGAATTTCTATGACTTTTCAGAACTTTAAGGCCTCTTAACTCTGTGTAATCCCTAGGGATGGTTCAGTTTATAGCTCCTCCATTGTTCTTTGCCCAGCTTCATATCATTTGAGACTACTCATGCATGTCTTAATATTCTATAAATACTCAAAGACACCCTATGAAGATCCCAGAGTTCTTCTGCCTGCCATGTTTCTTTGTAGTACTCTGCCCCACAACTTCCAGCTGCCTCAGCTTCTCAGGCTGTGAACTCTGGCTCCCTCACTCACTGCTCTTCTTGAGTTTCTTCTTCCTTTTCAGTTATCTGGAATGTGTTTCGGGTAGAATGCTGGGGCAACTGTAAGGCTTCCCCTTTGTTTCCCTTCCCTCAGTGATCAGAGTCCTGAACAACTGGCTATGTTGTGTCCAATTATCAATTTTTTTTTTGGTAGAAGAGTGAGTCTGGTTCCAGTCATTCTATTTTGAAGCAGAAGTTGAGTTTATTTTTAAAATTTAAAAATTGTGATATAGGCAGATATAATAATAGATAATATAATAAATACACATATTCCTTTCACCTAGCTTTATCAGATCTTTTTTTTTTCCTTTCTGGTACTGGGGATTGAACCCAGGGGCTTTACAGTGAGCTATCTCTCCTACCTTTTAAAACATTTTAAAAAATTTTGTGACATAGTCTCCTTAAGTTGCCCAGGCTGTGCTCAAAGGTGCAGCCTTTCTACCTCAGCTTTGCAGAATGCTGGGATTATAGCCATGTGCCACCATGCCTGGATGCTTAGTCAAATCTTAACATTCATTTTCTTCAAATCTCTATTAAGGATTGCAACAATAAAATATTGTTGAAGTCACATATATATATATTTTTTTGTGATTTTTTTCCCTGTGCCCCTCCGAGATAACTTCTATCGTGAGTTCAGTGTTTAGCATTCTCTTACATGTTTTTAATACTACTTCATAATTTTATATCCCAAAATACTATATATCATTTTACCTGTTTAAAAACATTTACAAATGCTATGGAATTGTATGCATAAGAATACTCTGTAACTTATTTTCTCATTTAACATGTTTTAGATAAATTTTCTTTGTAGTTCGATTTTAACTTTTTTATGTTGTTCCACTGTTTTAGTATTTCACTATTTGTCCATTTTCTTATTGACAGTTTTTTTTTCAATTTTTTGCCAATAGGAACAATGTTGGACTGTTCATTCTTAAATGTTTGTCTTTTTATATACATTCTAGAGTTTCATATATTTATGAGAAAAGATTGTCAGGTCATACATAGTATTTGTGCATCTTCCAATAGATATTGTCAAAAAATTTCCCAAGAGAATTTTTACCAATTTATGTGTTTGTCAGAAATGTGCAGTCCCACCCATAGATGTGGCTCTCAGCACTGGATATTGTGAACCTTTAATTTTTGTTAACCAAATAGATGTGAAACTGTGTAGAGAAAATCAGAGTTTTGATGTACTTATTTATCTTTATTAGCTATTTTGATTTCTTTTGTGAATTGCATGTTTCTGTTTTTCTCCATTTTTCCACTAGATTATTGTGTTTTCTTAATTTTTTGAGTAACAATATTTTCTGGTAATTTATTATCAGTTATGTGTTACAGGTACCTTCTACCAGTCTATAGCTTCTCTTTTTAATTTTTGAATGATGTCTTTAGCTATGCAAAAGTTTAAAATTTTAATGCAATTAATCTTCACTATATTTCCCCCTTTAGCATGAGTCTGTCTGCTGGAGATGTGATAGGATTTGACATGGAATGGCCACCAATATACAATAAAGGGAAACTAAGCAGAGTTGCACTAGTTCAATTGTGTGTGTCTGAGAGCAAATGTTACTTGTTTCACATTTCTTCTATGTCAGGTTGGTCGTCTCTTTTTCTTTGTTTCATTTTGATATGGCCGATAATTGTTATATATCAACTTTATTCCTATAAAAGTAGTCTCTTTTATTAGTTGTCTGTCTTCTCATCATTTTATATTTAAGTATTCAGTTTCTACCTGATTTACTCATGTTCCCTGTTTCATGGAATTTTTATAACATTCTGTGAGGCATTGATATTTTTCTTGATTTAAAAAGAGAAGTAAAGTTTAGAATGTGTTAATGATGAGGGATAGTGCCGGGGATTTAGCTCAGTGGTTCTACCGCTTACCTCACAAGCTCAAGGACCTGAGTTTGATCCCCGGTACCAAAAAAAAAAAAATAAAAAAAAAATGATGAGGGATATACTGCTGGCACTAACAGAGATGACATTCAGATTTGTTTTTTCTTACCGCTTATCAATCAGGAGTTTTTGTCTTAGGTAAGAACAGAAATGCTTAAGGTGAATGTGTTTCTGAATTTAAGCTTAACATAAACACAAATTTAAAAATACATGTGGTATTTATAAGAGGTAGAGAGTACTTAACAAATATTATGGAAATAACAATGAAATATTATAGTTTTTCCCCAGGGATTAAAAATGTTGCTTGAAAATGAAACAATTAAAAAGGCAGGTGTAGGAATCGAAGGAGATCAGTGGAAACTTCTACGTGACTTTGACATCAAATTGAAGAGCTTTGTGGAATTGACTGATGTTGCCAATCAAAAGGTAGAGTATATATATTTTTTTCCTTAAAGAAGATAGTTTTATGTTTTTATAGAATGTGTTTTCTATCTGAATGTTATATTTTTTGAAAAAATAATTTAAGCTATATACTGTTTTTGTAGCAATAGAGAAGTTCTCTGGGTTGTATTTGGGTATAAACTTTCTAGTTTTATTTGTGGCCTGGTTATTTGGTGGTATTTAGGAATAGCTGGAAATACCAGAAAGTAATTTTTGCTACACTGCTTTTTTGTACTTCCAGTTGAAATGTATGGAGATCTGGAGCCTCAATGGACTGGTTAAACACCTCTTTGGTAAACAACTTCTGAAAGACAAGTCTATCCGCTGTAGCAATTGGAGTATTTTCCCTCTCAGTGAGGATCAGAAACTGTATGCAGCCACTGATGCTTATGTATGTATTTATAGATCTTTAGGTTGGGGTGTTTTTTGAAACCTTATAAATTACTTTGTAGAATTTTTATTGTGGTGATGGCATAAACTCAACTAAGATACTTAATATCAACTTGGCATTAAAAAATGCTTTCATCGAGTAAAACTTAGTTCTTGATATAAATTAGCAAGTACCAATCAACAGATTGTTGAGTCCTATTTATTTTCACTGTCATGATTCCAAAATAATGTCCAATTTGTGGGTAAAAGAAATGTGAAATTGCTGAAACCATGAAAGGCAAGCTCAGGCTCAGCAAGCACAAATGGTATGGATGATGCATTTGATATGTAGCAATTCAGAATAAGAATAATTTTAAAACAGTTTCTATATTGAAACTGCCCTTATTTTTATATTTATATTGAAACTATAGTGAAAATGTAGAAAAATTGCCTCAAATTTGGCTTGCTGCTTCTGTTTTATATTTGCAAGTTTATACATGGTGAAATCTGAGCTTTATATGTTGTACTGTTCTGTGTGTATTTATTTTAATGTATGAAATACAGTTTTTCCACAGTGAATTTATTGCCCTTTAATTGATAACTTTTATTTATTGATGAATATCTTTTTGTTTCCCATTTTGCCTCTATTTTTAGGAGTGGAAACTTCTTTAATTTGTAATCAGAAAAAAAAATTCATTTTTGTCAGTGACATAAGGAATAATATTCCTCTTAAAAAGTACAATACTTGTTGAGACAAGCACAAGTTCTATAGCATTTTCATTCATAAAATCAGTATGGTGTGATTATATCTGTTAACAGTATTTACAGAGAAGGCTATTCACACACTACATTCTCAACTGATTTAATGAAGTGAAAGGAAGTAGATATCTGGACAAAGAAGATTTCTTTCCTTGTATGTATTTTGTGAGGGTTTATTTACAAGGAATTTGATTTGGATATTTGTAATATTGAGTGTTAATCAGTGAAAACTTAAACTTGTCATTTAAGGATGAGGCAGCTTTCTCCATTCTCATAACTCTGTAGTGATTAAATGAAGACATATAGATATGTAGCAGTAATAGGTTGAATTTAGTTTTGGGGGTGCTTTGAGAATCATTGTTTTGGATTTTTCTAAAGGTGAGATATATAACATTATTTTACTTATTTTTAACCAGCTTGTTCTTTTTTTTTTTCCTGTTTTGCCATAGGCTGGTCTCATCATTTATCAAAAATTAGAAAGTTTGGGTGATGCCATACAGATGTTTGATACAAATAAAGGTGTGTTATGATCTCAAAATAAAAGATAAAGTGTGAATTGCCTGTTTTGTGCGGTTTATCCATATAGTTTCGAATATTGTCTGTTCAAAATGACAGTATTCACAAATTTATAAAGTGTTTCATATTATTACAACTTTTTTTTCAACTTTTATTTTTTATTAGTACATGTTTGCAGTACATAATGATTGCATTCCTTGTGGGGAGTTGGTACTTGTATGTAACACATCTTAATTCCTCTCTTCTTGACCCTTCCTTCAATCTCTCTATCCCTTTGTTATTTGAGAAAGATGTATCTCCCTATTTTCTTTTATCTCTCTTTTATTTTGTCCTTTATATTTTGTTTTCTTATGTAAGAGAAATCATGTAATATTTAAACTTGTATGTATGATTTATTTCACTTAGCATTATGGTCTTAAGGTACATCCATGTTTATCACTGTAATATATGTCTTTTACTCTTGGAAAGATACCTACAAGGGGAATAGCTGTGTGAAATGGAATTTCTTCTATTTTTAGTTTTTTGAGGAATCTCCATATTGATTTCCATAATGACTGTACTAGTTTACATTCCCCCAGCAATGTAGAAAGGTTCCCTTTTCCCTACAGCCATGCCAGCATTTGTTATTATTTGATTTCTTGATGATTGCCATTCCAAGATGGAATCTCATTGTTATTTTAATTTACACTGTTTTAATTGCTAGATGCTGAACATTTCTTCATATATTTATTGGCCATTTGTGCTTCTTTTGAGAAGTGTCTACTCATTTTAGTTGCCCATTTTTTGATTGGCACTTCTGTTTTGGGGGGAGGATCCTAATTCTTTTTGAATTGTTTACTTATTCTAGTCCTTTGAAGACTAGTTGGAAAATTTTTTTTACCAATCTATAGGTTGTCTCTTTGCTCTGTGGAAGCTTTTAAATTTGATATGATTCCATTTGTTGGTCCTTGGTGCTGTTTCCTGTGTACTGAGGTGCCTATGCCTATGACTTCAAGAGTTTTACCCATTTTATCTTGCAGCAGATTGTTTCTGTTTAAACATTTGGTTCTTTGATCCATTTTGATTTTAGTTTAGTATATGATGAGAAATATGGGTGTAGATTCATTGTCTACCTGTAGATAGTCAATTTTCCTAGAGAGGTGATTTTCCCTGTGGTTTATGTTTTTGGCCCCCTTGTCAAAGAGCAAATAGTAGAATGTGGTTGGGATGTTTTTTGCATCTTTTATTCTGTTTTATTGATCTGCATATCTATTTTTGTAGCAGAACCATGCAGTTTTTATCACTATAGTTTTGTAGTATAACTTGAAGTCTGGTAATGTGATGCCTCCCATTTTGCTATTTTTATTCAGAATTGCTTTTATTATTCTGAGTCTTTCCTGGTTCTGTATAATTTTAGGATTTTTTTTCCAGTTTTGTGAAGAATGGTGTTGGTATTTTGATTAGGATTGTGTTAAACCTGTATATCAATTTTGAAAGTGTTGGTATTTTGTCTATATTGGTTCTGCCTATTTGGGAATAGGATATTTTTTCATTTTCTTTTTATTTTTTTGAGACAGGTTCTCATTATGTTGTTCAGGTTGCCCTTGAACTCACTATGTAACTCAGGCTGGCCTATATTTTTCCATTTTCTGATGTCTTCTTCATCTCCTTTTTCAGAGTACTGTAGTTTTCATTGTAGAGGTCTTTCAGTTCCTTGGGTAGGTTAATTTTTAAGTATTTAATTATTGTTGGTGCCATTGTGAATGCTTTCTTTTGGAATTACTTTCTCGGTGGTTTCATTATTGGTGTACAGGAAGGCTATTGATTTTTGTGTTGATTTTTGTGTTGATTTTGTGTCCTGCTACATTGCTGAATTTGAATATTAATTCTAGAAGTCTATTGGTGGAATTTTTTGGGTCTTCTGTGTAGCATATCATGTCATCTACAAATAATGATAATTTTACTTCTTCCTTTCTTATACATATCCCTTTTATTTATTTTTCTTGCCTAATTGCTCTTGCTAATGTTTTGGGTACTATGTTGAACAAGAGTGGGATAGTGGACATCTTTGTCTTGTTCTTGATTTTAGAAGAAAAGCTTCAGTTTTCACCCATTTAATATGATATTGGCAGTAAGTTTGTAATAAATGGCTCTTATCAGATTGAGATAATATCCTTCTATATTGATTTTCTTTAGTGTTTTATCATGAATGGATGTTGGATTTTGTCAGAGGCTTTTACTGCAACTATTGAAATGGTCACGTGATTTTTGTCCTTTTGTTGATGTGATGTATTACATTTATTGATTTGTGTATGTTGCACCATCGTGTCCCTGGGATGAAGCCTACTTGATCCCGATGTATGATCCTTTTGATTATTTGTTGCATTCTGTTTGCCAATATGCAACATTGAAGATTTTTCATGTATATTCATTAAAGAGATTGGACTGTATTTCCTTTTTTTTTGTTGGATCCTTCTCTGGTTTTGGAATCAAGGTAATACTAGTTTTCAGAAATGATGTTGGGAGTACTCCTTCCCTTTCGATTTCATTAAAGAGCTTGAGGAATATTGGTGTTAGATCTTCCCTGAAGTTTTTATAGAATTTGACAGAGACCTTGGCTTTTCTCAGTTGGTAGGTTTCTTTTTTTTTTCTTTAATTATTGGTTCAATTTCATTGCCTGTTATTGGATTATTTGAGGTTTCTAAATATTTTGGTTAAGTTTTAGTAATTCATATGTATCTAGGAATGTACCCATTTCTTCTGAATTTTTCAATTTATTAGCATACATGTTTGCAAAGTATTTGCTAATAATTATCAGGATTTCTAAGGTGTCCATTATAATTTTACCTTTTTCATGTCTAATTGCATTGATTTGGGTATTTTCTTTCCTCTTTTTGGGTAAGATTGGTGTCTTACTTTCTCATTGGTGAGACAAAATACTTTTCATCCACAAGTTAAAGGAGGAAAGATTTCATGCTATAATACATTGGTTCCAAGGCAGGGTGAAATGGCAGAGGAGAAACCATTCATGGCATAGAATGCAGGAGGCAGCAACCTGCTTTCCTTCTTTCCCTTTATATTCCATCCAGGCTACAAATCTTTTGATTGGTGCCATCCATACCCAGGGTGGGGCTCCTCTCTTCAGTAATCCCCCCATGCTAAATCAACCAATGGTCTAATCCAGTATCACACACCCATGATCCAGCCACCTCCCAAAAGCTACACCAATAAGCGCCTAAGGCTTTGGGTGGGTGGGGGGACTAGATATAACCCATAACATCCCACTCCTGGCTCCCAGAAGACTCATCCACATCCCTTTATGCAAAATGCATTTGGTTCATCTCTAAGATCTGCCAGAGTCCTAATAGTTTCAGCACTGCTGAAAAGTCCAAGTCTAAAGTCTCCTCTGAGATTTAAGGCAAACTCTTAGCTATGAGCCCATGTAAAAATGTAAAGAAAGTTAAACATTTCCAACCTACAATGGCACAAGATAAACATTCTCATTCCTAAAGGTAGAAATAGGAGGATTAAAATGAATGAGATCAAAGCAAGACCAAAATTCAGGGGGACAAGCATTAAATCTCATAGTTCCATGTTCAGCATCCAGTGCAAGGTGGCAAGATGTGAACTCCAAAGGGCTTGAGTGGCTCTACCCCTGTGGTACTGTCAGAGGTGGTAGCTCTCATGGCTTCTTGCCTCAACCTGCATGGCGTAGGGTCTGAAGCTGGGGAGAGTCGTGGGATATGAAGAAAAAATGAAAACACCAAGATCTTGCTTGAAAGCTAAGACCAGGTGGAGCCATAGCCTGTCTGGAGCTAATGGCTGCCTGGAGTCCAGTGCACTCTTTATTTATATTGTAAGACCAATAGGAAGAGAAGGCAGGGTAACTTGTGCTACAAGGCCTAGGATGAATGTAACATGATTGTCTTGTGATTGGGGCATACATAGAAAGGGATCAAGGAAGAAGGATTCATAATGTAACTGTCTCCTGTGGCTGTGTCATCCATGGTCTACAATCTTAGTCTATGGAGAAGAAAGGAAGTAGGGAGGAGGTGAAGGACCATCTTCAGGCTCAGCCATCGGGAGTTTTGGGCATAATCAGTATTACAGTAATCTGCAGCTTCTCTCTTGGGCCAGCCTTGCTCATTCATTGTGTTTCCTCAGATGATCTGGGTTCCTGGCTTGTCCAACCTTCTGCAGTCTCCACTGTACTTTATAGCTTCACACTCAAAACTTCTCATACCTACCTTTAGGGGCACAGTGACTGGCCTCCCAGGCCTTTTTCTGAAATCTGGGTGGAAGCCTTCCTGGCCCCACAACTCTTCTGTATGTACCATGTGGATGATGCCAAGATCTGCTGCCAGCTGGAGCAGTAGCTGGGCTTCCTTCTTTCTTGGCTGTAGGGGTTGAATGCCTGGACTGTTGAGCAGTATGAACCCAATTCTGAGAAACACATTCCTTAGGCCACCTTTATTGGAACATGGTGCCCTGGGGCTCTCTTCTGAAAGCAGTCTTTCATATTTGCAGTTATGAGGTTGCAAAGGGTAGAGTATTGCTAGTTCTTGTGATGCCCTCAGGCTATCTTTTTATTTATACTTTTCTAAAATACTTGGCTTTATATTGTTAATCTTTTCAGCAATCAAATTCTTCTCTGTTCCATCTTTGTAGGCTGCAACTTTACTGGAGCTTTATTACTGGCCAAACTAAAAAATTTTAAAATCATTCTATTGGACCTTTGCTCCTGATTCTTGCCGTAGATCTGGGTAAAAGCCCCGAGCAATAGCCACACCACTACTTCAATATTAGACTGACTTGATTTTTTTTTCCGCCAAGTTGATTAATGTATTGCTTTTAATCTCAGTCTCAAGCAAAGTGTCTGATATGAGCAAAGTGCAGACATTTTCTGAGAAAGTGTAACACTCATGGTCTGGAGTCCAATAGCCAATGTAGTTCTTGTTCCTACTGAAACCTCCTGAGCCTGATCTTTACCAGCTGTATTTCTATTAGCATTCTGGTATTCTGAG